TTTAATTTTAATTGTTTGAAAGGTTATTTGAATAATAAAAAATACTCCCTCCGTCCCAAAAAGTTTGTTACGTTTAGAAAAAACTGCGTCCCGTAAAGTCCGTTACATTTCTATTAAAAAACCACTTTTACCCCTTACTTTTTCATACCCTACCTATCACATCATATTTTTTTCTAATAATCTACCCATCACATCCTACTTTTACCCATCACATCAAGGCTATTTTTGGAAAGTCAATATCAAAATATCCCTCCCTTAATTATCCAAAAAGTCAAACCGTCCCATTCTTTTTGGGATGGAGGGAGTATTACTTTGGAATATTTTTAACATTTTTTGTCATTTTACATTGCCTGTAAAAGAAATCCGAAGATATAGCCCCCAGACCCTATAATACAATGCCCCCAGTCACCTATAATCCTGGATTCGTCACTGCCTAGTTAAGTTACATTATGTTGTGGCGATCTTACTTGTGCTCATTTGGTTATACGAGTGATTTATCTTCACCATTATTCCACTTAAGTGCATATTAGTATATTGTGATTGTTTACTCACGCAATCGATCACGACGAAGATATGAAGAAATCTATGAAGAAGATCGATGGAAGATGAATGAAAAAAGAAAACGAACATGAGCTTTCAACTATATACTCCCTCCGTCCCGGAAAAGGAGTTTTGATTTTGAAGAGGGATTTAAGAAGAGTGTATTTTGGTATTGAATTTCTAAACATGTCCTTTGATGTGATGAATAAAAGTATGATTTGATGGATAGATTATTAGTAAAAATGTATGATGTGATATGTAGGGTATGAAAAAGTAAGGGGTAAAAGTGACTTTTTAATAGAAATGAGAAGTGTTTTTGGGGACGAATGAAAAAAGAAAGGAGAAAGGTTTTCAAGTACGGAGGTAGTATTTCATAGTAATGCCGGGTATATTAACGCCACCGCAGTACGATGCTAATTTGGAGTATTAAAGATTTCAAAAATGTGTATAAATAGCTACAAAAAAAATACGAGAATAAAAGAATTCTATCCGTTGAATAGGAATGCGATCACTGTGAAATTTAGCATTATGGCTTAACACTTTAGTGTGGTTTGACATTGTGTTTTAGCATTATAAACCATACTTTGATATAAAAAAACATTGAACGTCCTATTTTAATAATGATACAAGTAGACCTGACAAAACAGACTCAAACCGAATAACCCGGAATCGAATCCAAAAATGGAAAAACCAAATTAAATCCGAACACGCGAAATGATCTGAACCGAATGTATTCAGACCCGATTCATATCCGAATCTGATGGAACCCGAATCAATTACATTCGAATAGATTAAATCCAAAACCGATTAGACCCAAAATCGATTAGACCGAATATTGATCAAATTCAAAACAAATCAAACACACATCCAGTCAAATCTAATAGCTCATTGGTTGATGTCTTTTTCAGATAAGCATATTTAAATTATAGGTACAACTAATTTCTGTACAAATCTTTTATTCCATATAATATCACTCAAACTAAGGTGGTTGTCTATTCTTATATAGAGTATATATAGTTTATAGTAACATTGTAACACATTGATGAATATATAGTTTATAGTGACACCATAACATATTGATGAATATACTCACTCATTATTGCTGACACGTGCATATACCCCTGTACACACAAGGAGAAGAGGCTACATACAATGCTAACATTAAGAATTCTAATACCAAGAAATTTTATTAGAAACTAGTACAAACTCGAACCGAAATAAACTTGAACCGGAACCAAATCAAAATCGAGAAAAATCAGACCATATTAAACTCGGAACCAAACTGAATCGAACCGACCCGACCCAAACTGATTATAACATGGAGTATATCCGAAAAAGATCCGAGCTGAAAACATCCAAACTAGAATCAAACTGATTGACCCGATTGTCAGGTCTAGATACGAGTACATGTTTTAGTCTAGATATTTATTCATATAAATTCCATTCAAACTCTAGAGTCTATGTAACGCCCCAAAACATACCCTAGAATTATTATTAAATAATTATTCGATTAAACAAATTTGTTTTGATTATTATTGTGCTTTGGGCCGATATGAAATATTTTTTAATATCCAATATCAAAATCTGGATAAGTCTAATCGAGATAAATCCAATATGTGGACTATTTGTGTGGTCTTGATTGGGAACCTGAGTGCAGACCCATATCAAGAATAAATAAATTAATTAATTATGATGTGAACTTTGTAATGATTTATTGAAATAAATCATGAGAATAATTGATATGAATTAAATAAGAGAACCTTTTATGAGAAAGGTCAATTAAACCAATTTTGACTTTGTTAAAGTCAAACACCCAAAAATATGATGTCGGAAAAAGTATTACAAATAATTATGAAAAGTATATCGTTGGATAGAGCTCGACTGTCTGATCGCAACGGTGCAAACGGATTTCAATTTGGAGAAAGTTGAACCAAAAAGTGTACCCCGACTGAAACCAAAATAGGTCCCAATCAGGGAACTGTTTAGACAGCGCCTCCTTCCCCACTACGCCGATCGCAGAGTCACCTTCTTCTTCTCTCCTTCTCATTATATAAGAAAAACCCAACCTTCTCATTTCTTCACCATTCTTCTTCATTCTTCTTCCTAAATGTTCATGAAAGTTTGAGGAGTGTTGTGGTGCTGTCAATTTGGTGTGAAGTCGCTGGAGTTGGGAGAAATACTCGCCGGAAAATTTCCAAAACCTCCATTAAGCTTCGAGGTAAGCCCGTAGATATATCTAATGACTAGAATATTCATATAGGTTGTTTCTACGTTCATAAATGGTCATTTGGTTGAGTTTTGTGTTTGACATGCTTGAAGAACTAAGAATCGTAAACCATGATTTTGATGTTAAAACTATGAATTAATGATGCCAAAATGATCTATGAACCTTGGAGAACACTTTTTTATACTTTAATTGAAGTTTGGTGAGTAAAAGTGACATTTCGGCAAGTTGGCTCGAGGTAGAAGACGATGGATAATCGATTATCAACTTGAAAATCGATTATTCATCGTTCTGCAGATTTTTGTAACAAAGCTGAGCAACAGTCGATTATCAGAATGTGATAATCGATTGTCAGCCCTCTCTGAAGTTTGATAATCGATTATCAGAGTGTGATAATCGATTATCAGCCCATTCTGAACAT